TTTCTTTTCTTTTCTTCTTTCTTTTCTTTCTTTTTTTTAATGAGATAGGGTCTTGCTCTTGGTCCAGGCTGGAGTGCAGTGGTGTGATCACAGCTCACTGCAACCTCAAACTCTTGGGCTCAAGCGATCCTCCCACTCAGCCTTCCAAGTAGCTGGGACTACAGGTGTGCACCACCGAACCTGGCTAATTTTATTTTATTTTTTGTAGAGACACGGTCTTGCTATGTTGCTGAAGCTGGTCTTAAACTCCTGGCCTCAATCGATCCTCCCACCTTAGCCTCCCAAAGTGCTAGGATTACAGGCATGAGCCACAGTGCCCAGCCCTAAATAATTTGTAATAAAAGAATACATCATGATTTTTCACAGAAGGTTCTGTAAAGTGAGCTAAATATTTGTTACATTTTTCTGACGAAGTTTCAAATTTGTTACATTTTTATAACATCAAAAGAAATATAAAAACACATCTTGTCCAGAAAGTATAAATGCCATTTTGAGTCTTTTAGTCCAAATAAACTGCCAAATAAAACTAGCAGCCATCTACATCCTTTTCTTTATTCTCCATTAGTACCAAGTTTCTTCTACTGTGAGGGCTCATGTACAATATCTACATAAACTCGCTTTTCATAAACATATAAAACATAGTAGGGAAGTGGTAGAATAAATTTTTAGTTGAGAAACAATGTGAAGCTTGGAGCTCTGACTCAGGTGGGGCAGGGTCAATATACGTAACCTAAACATTTGTACCCCCGTAATATGCTGAAATAAAAAAAAAAATGTGAAAAGAAACAGAGAAAATGCCATGGTCTTTAAGCGTGGTCTTTAAGAATTCATTACATAACATTATAAATGAAATTTGGCATGGTTTTTATCAATTTTTTCTAGCCTTAGACTTGAAGGAAATGTAAAACAGCTTTGCACTGAAGAGACAAATGGACATTTATTTTCATTATTAACACCATGGTACTCACTCCAGGTTATTCTGAAGATAGTAGAGAACGCCCAGTTCATTGAGGGTCCGAGCATTATCAGGCGTGTCCTTACCTAATGTAAGCTCTTCTAACTGTAGGGCCCGTCTACGTAAAAGGGCAAATCCATACTGTGGCAAAGAAAAAAAAATTAAAAACAATCACTAAGTAGGCACAATCTTTGATTCTGAAACAATATACTAGGGTCCCGAAAAATCCTTTTTCCTTTTTTCCCTGTAATCTAGATCATTATTTTAAGTGTCACACTGAATTAATTTAACAGCTATTAAGAATACACATTTCCACATGGCAACACATTCTAAAATTCATAAAAACTATTTTGTGAGAATGATTATAGGGTATTTTAGAAAGTAAACTATGTCTCAAAGTGCTTCAATGAGATTAGATAACAACTTGTAGATATTTACCAACCCCACTGCTAAAAACTTAAACATCAGGTACTTAAAAATGCACTTTGTTTTAAGTTAAAACAAAGAAATATGCTCCATTTAAATTTTACCAGCAATTTAGAAAAATGAAAATTTTTTTGTGTGTTCAAGGGGAAGAATTTCTTCACATTTGAATCTAACATAAAATGTTAACTAAATTTCTTTTATTCCCTTTTCCAACCTTTTAAAAAATCGAAGTAGATTTAAATGCCATCTTCCAATGCCCAACCTTTAAATGAACTTTATAGTCCACTTTTTAAAAGTCTACTAAGTTGTACTTCTCAGTAATGTTAATATTTAAACACATATTATAAATAAAGAAGAAAATGTACTTTTCTGGAAGTCACTTTAAAAATCTAAAGCTCTTAAAATTGTGAGCTTTATGTACTTAAGATATTCAGAGATACTCTTTTCCTCTTATGTTCAAAACACAACACAAAAGAAATCTCTCATTACCAAGTTGCCTTTTCTCCTTGTAGCTTTCTGACGAATTTTTAAGGATTTTTTCCTAAAATGTTCAGCTTGTTCATATCTTAAAATAAAAAGTACAGCAAGTCAAACAAAAGAAACATATTCGAGGTATACTTCATAGAAATCAAAGCACATAGTGTAAAACCTTTTCTTTTGGCTACTAAATACAGCATTATTCTAGACGTGACAGTCATATGGAATTAAAAATCTCTAACAAAAATCCTCAGAAAACAAAATCTGACAAAACAAAATTAGTCCTCTAAGTAGCTGACATTTAACTGTTTTTAAAAAAGTTAACTCATCTCTAAAGGGCAATCTAACTAAATAGAAATCCAAAATTTTAGTTGCTACAGCACTTTTTTCTACACAGGCTAATTTATGATCAAATATAAATGTGAATTTCATACAAAATTTGTGTGAAACAATACTTGTATAAGTTAAAAGAAAAAGTTCCAATATGTATCACTTATGATGAAGTAAACATCAAACCACACCTGGTTACATTTAATTATAGGCAAAGCCAAGAAGGAGTGAAATAAAAAATGTTCCTTGAATCAACTACAAAGACCTCTCCTGTAGTCCTAACAATTGAGTGATTTGTTATGCTTACGGTTGCTTTACACAGCAAACATAATACTAGTGGAATTTTAGAACTTCTGAAATATAAAATAAATTTGAATTAGAATGCTGATGAATGCATTTGTATTTGGAGTGTATTTTAACAAAACCAAATCAATATTTTAATTAAGTCTGAAATAATATTTCTATTTTTAAAATTTTTTTTACGGAGTCTCACTCTGTTGCCTGGGATGGAGTGCAATGGCTCATTCATAGCTCACAGCAACCTTGAACTCCTGAACTCCACGATCCTCCTGCCTCAGTGTCCCAAGTAGATGGGACTATAGGCACGTGCCACCACACCTGCTAATTTTATTATTATTATTTTAAATATTATTGCTA